ATAATTATACTAAGAACTGACAAAGCATCAGCAGTAGTTATAATGCATAAAAATGAAATTTTATCCATTATAGGTAGTAAAAGTAAATTCATAGTGGACGTCCCATCTGATAGTATTCGAAAATTAGGAGAAAGGGTAACATCTAATATAACAAGACTTTGTCACATGAATATTATTGAAACAAGGAATTCAGTTCTCTAAGACATATGGGATCTAACTTTCCAAACCCTTTCGGAATACATAAGATCCACAAAATTAACAACCGTCACACCATACAATGACAATCTGACAGGTAATTTGGTCGGTATGGTGCTATTTTATGAGTGCTATGTTGACGATAAGCATAAAAGTAAGACATGTCTACTGGACAGAATTAACTATCCACGAAATCAAACCAGCCTTACATGTGACGAAGATGCAATCAACTCAGATTTTTAGATATGCCTTTTAGTAAAAGAGAGCATGGATGTTGGGGAAACATACATTCGAGTGACGTTGAAAACAGTTGGATTCTGAAACCTCAGTAAATGCAAATGACAGGCTACCAGTGTCGTTTGTGGCACAACACTATCGATATAGACCATTAGATCGACAGCAAAACAACTTTTGAGAACATATGTGGTACGTACAGTGACTATGGTCATTTGTAAAATCAAGTCCTCCTTATGTATGCAAAAACAATATGTTGTAAACCTCTACCAAACTAGGTTATCCTTATCTGATTACCTTGTCTCTTTATTCTTTTGTTTATTCTTGTTCAACCTTTCATTTTTTTCATACAAATTGAAAAATATTTGTTCGAAGTGTATCGCGCAAATACCTTAGGCTTTCCAGGTCAACTCCGTCTTTTAATAACGCTTTGCAGACTTATTAAATGGGCGGTGTTTTCACAATGCATATTCTAGACACCCGCTGTAACAATGTATTTCACCTTTTACATGAGCTGGTTTCCCTGGTCTTGTTTAGCCTTTTGAATGTGTGCACAACCGTTAGGAGCTCAAAAACCATCCAAAACCATTATGGGGTTCTGTCTCACGGTTGAATTCATCCTCCTACGATAGAGAAGGACGATACAAGAAAAATAATGCATTGAGCACGACGAAAACAATAGAAATATGACCCCGCCCAACTAGAACCCGATAACTGTATCTACAAAAACACAAGCGCGAGTGTGTAAAGAAGAGATATATTAGTATATAACACAGGCTAAGTATATCACAAGTCGATAGGAGAGCATTTCAAGCCAGCGTGTATAAATATAAATGCGTGAATCACACCATTTGGAATTGCATATTCGTATATCATACACACGTGTGTATATGGGACATATGGAATGCAGTACATGAGGCCTATGATGCCTCAATTATTGTGTTCACTGAGTTTTCAAAATCAATTTATAATACAAATCCAAGAGTCATAATCGACATTACTCCAGCGCAGAATACATAATAACCTGCTTTAAAACTTTCGTCTGGCTTGTTTCACGAATTTCTCCAGCCAGGAACATTTCATCGACGACACTATAAACTTTGTAGAAGTTGAAGACAAGATCTAGTTCACAAACATTGTGAAATAGCTCATTCAAAACCTCAACAAAGTTATGAATAGCTTCTAGGTACGCAAGACTATTATCCATGAGGTCTATACACATGCAAAAATACAATCCAGCATAACGTCGATAAACAATTTTAAAGTTGCGAAACTCAACAAAGTTTGTATGCTTGGCGTCTCTCACAGTAACTAAAGCATGGACTTCTTCTATTAATTTTTGCTTTTCTTCATCGTCGAAATTCATGTACCATTTCGCCAGTCTAGTCTTACCCGCACGATTTTGTATAAGTATAAACCTAATCATACTACGCAACCTTGACCTTGAGAGCAAATATGCCTCGCAAATGCACACACTAGTAGATCACTACAACAACCCTCTTTCTACTAAGATATAATTGGTTACTACCCTCATAGTGACGCTGACCTGGTGTGGTGACTACGGGAAATACATTAGTTGACTTTTCAATATATGATAACTCGCACTTGAGGATTTTCAACAGTTAATTTACAGTGACTCAATGAAGATTCAGATAATAAGCATGGTGGGTTCTAGTTACTTTCTATTTATTTTTTTATTTTTGATTACAGCTTTATTCTACACTGTATTTTTGGTACAAGTATGAAACTTTCAGCATGTGATATCGGTAGCCCAAATTTTGCAGACCGACCATAGATATCAGATGTGCGTTGGTGAAGGATCGAACCTCGGACCATGTGCATGGTCGGCGAGAGTCCTAACCACTGTGCCATTGACGCACACCTATGTCAATCCTTACAATATGTATCTCTGCAGAGATCTAACTTTTCTTTTAAATCGTTTACCGATGGAGACGCTACTACTTAATCAGGCAAAGAGTTCCAATCGTTGATCACTCTGTGATTGAATGCAAATTCTACACGTATTTTATTCGTCCTCGGTCTGAGCACCTGTCTTTCGTAACGTTATAAATGTATCCTAGAGAGAGGGAGAGAGAGAAAAGATTAGGAAGGTAAATCTTTAAATCACCCTTTAATATACGGTAAGCCAAAATTAAGTCTCCCTTGCTTCTGTATGGTAATGGGAAGAGATTTAGATGCTCCATCCTCTTGTCATAAGGTAGGTGTGGGATACCACTAACTAATTTGATTCCCACACTCTGTAATCTTTCGAGGATATGTGCTTCCCTCTTGAAGTATGAATCCACCGCTTGTATGCAGTGTTGTATGTTGCATAGGGTACTTGGAACTTAAGTTCGTTTAATAATTTGAAGTGCTCATAGCTTTTGAAAAGCTTTAGTTGAGGCTGCATTGCAATTTGCGATTGTTTGCAAATCATGGCTTTCAAAGTGCTTTTGTTTCTTAACACCTGATATTCATGTGTCCCACAGGTAGTACGGCGTGTAAGACCTCTGACCTGGGTGCATTATCGCGCTGTTCTTAGAATTAATTTCCAGACTCCAGAGGTTCGACCGCTCAACTAACCTACCTAGATCGTCTTGTAACACGAACTTATCACCGGATGGAATGTCTTCCGTCCTCTTAAAAAATGGTGGAAATGACATGAATCTACTTCTTCTCAAGATATTTTCAACTTCGATAAGGAGTGGAACATATCCAAATAGCTGGAAGAAATCCTACGTTGTACCCATTCACAAAACCGGACCTACAGTGGACATAGATAATTACCGCCCGATCAACATTACGTGTGATGGGAAAGATTGTAAAGAAGCAAATTGTTCAGTATTTGCTCTCGAATGACTTAATATCCCCTTTCCAATACGGTTTCCTAAATAGAAGATCGTGCATTACGTGCCAGTTAGATTATTTCGACCACATTACTGAATGTGTAGACAAAGGTCGTTCAGCAGCAACATTACTTCTAGATGTTAGGAAAGCTTTTGATAAAGTCCCACATAAAAGACTCATACTGAAACTCCTATCTTATGGAATAAGTGGAAGGCTACTCGAGTGGATAACTTCGTTTTTTACAAGAAGAGGTCAGTTAGTTAAAGTCAACCACCACTTGTCTACATCCAAACCGATAACCAGCGGCGTGATACAAGGTGGTGTTCTTGGCCCTACCCTATTCATTGTATTCATAAATGATATTGTCTCTATGATCAAGTATGGCAAGCCATACCTCTTTGCAGATGACCTCAAAGTTGTCTATGATTTTGACTATAATGATATGAATATTGTTAGTAAAGTCCAAGAAGACCTAAATAGTCTATGTAATTGGAGTGAAAAGTGGTAGTTAACGTTCAATCCAGCTAAATCTGGGATAACATACTTCGGACGTTGGAAACCTAGCATGTGTCTATACATGTACGGTGACCTTGTCTCAAACACGAACACAGTCACAGATCTCGGGATAACATACTCAGATCTTACCTTTACTGAGCATGCAAATAAGGTGGTATATGATTGTAAACGTCTAACCGGCTTTGTGCTACGCAACTTTTACACTCCAGAAGCCAGATTAGCCATATATAAGATATGCATTCTCCCCAAACTTGAATACTGTGCCCACTTATACAGTAGCTTTAAATCAGAAGACAGAAAATAAGTTGAAAGTGTCCAAAGATTCCTTACAAAAAGCACATTAGGCCATGGTCAGCAAATAGAATACCTTGACAGATGTATTCGACTGGACTTAGAGCCCTTATGGTTAAGGAGAGTGAAGTGCAATTTATTTCTCTTATTCAAAGTTATAAGAAAGCACTGTAACAGTAACTCGTCCATAACCTGGGCTAATCCTAAATCGTATGGACTACGCAACCACAACTACCTTCTCAAGGTTAACACCCATAAACTCACCACTAGAGCAAACTTCTTCACCATTAAATATTGCAAACTTTGGAACCTACTACCCTCTGAGATAAGATCCTGTGAAAGGCCTGACAGTTTCAAAAGGAGCCTAGAAAACCATATAAACATGTCCACCCTAGCCCGTCTCAAAGATCTCAACTGCTGGTAGAATGGAGAGACAATGGCATTTCAATATTTAACCACAGAAAGTACACTAGTTCCCAGACTAACATAATAATACTTAGTAATTATGTAGGTTCAATACTTGAAATTAGATTGTCATTAAAATACCTAAAATGATTAAAATACTTATGCGGCAAATGTTCTCTTGGTTTACCACGCTTATCTCCCTTATAACACTCAGTTATTGAGCCTAATGTATTCTTTGATAATACGAATTATGACACTGACTATGCTCTTATTATACATAGATTCATTTACTTCACGACTACCTGTAGTACTAACTACCCTTCTGTAGTATTGTTAACCAAATGCTGAAATTTTGTTGGTTCGGCGTTAATATCTTTCTATAATATATGTAGACAGGTTACTTTGCAATGACAAATGTTGACTATATATAAGACTGTCATGATAATTTGGTACACTAAGTCCTGCCAACCGACCTTACCTTCAGTTCATACTACCTACATTGATCCCTAATAATAATAATAATAATAATAATAATCACTTTATTCCACAACAATAACAATTTACAGCATGGAATTTTCAGCGTTTCTTTTACATATTGCAATGGTTTAGCTCTGTTTATAATTATATAAATATATAAAATGTTAAAATATTGATAGTTAATAGGAAAAAATAATAAAAATAAATATAAATAAAAAACCCAACAAAATCATACCATTTCTAGGTCATAGTGAATAATAAATAAATAATATAACAAATAACACTTGCATTAATATGCATCATTACATTTTATAGTTTAGTTACTGATTCAAAAGTTGTAAAAGTTCTTTTCTGATATTTGTCTCTTCACACAATACTCGTGCCAAATATGGAACGGTCGAATTTTTATATTTTGTAGTACGAGCATAAATGTTTATAAAATTTCTTCTGGTCTTACCCGAAGAGATACAAGGAAATAATTGTGAATAAAGAGGATGTTCACTATCAGATAAGATAACTTTAGCTAAGTGTTTACAAGAATTCATATGCCTATTGACAACAGTGTCATTTAGTTCAGTCAAAGGGATAGCACTGACCCTACTTACAGCCCTCAATGTTCTTCGTAGTATTATATGATCTTTCTTGAGTAGCCCAGGGAAGAATAATGGAGAACAATAAAGAATGATGGGCAAAACACATGAATTAATAAATTGTATGATAAGAGATTGAGTTATACCTGAGTGTCTCAACTTCTTTATGTAATAAGTCAGACGGAAAACTTTCTTAGAAACTATAAGAATATGAGACGACCAGCAAAGATTTGACGAGAAACTAATGCCAAGATAAGAAACACTTGACTTACTCTCTATCATGGTACCATCAATATTACAACAATCATGAGATTGAATCAATCCATGCATGACTTTTTCACTTCTCAAGCTAAAATCAACAGTGTTACATTTAGTTGGATTTAGTTTAAGACCATTTGAGCCAGACCAATCCTTAACTTCAGCTAGGAAGCCATTCATATAGGAACAATCCGATGTGGAAACTACAGGGACAGAAACGGTCAGGTCATCAGCATACTTAATGAAGTTAACTTTGGGTGAGTTCGGAAGGTCATGCAGAAAGAAAGAGAAAAGAAATGGAGAAAGTACTGCACCTTGAGGCACACCACTTTCAGTTAGCTGGGAAGTGGAGCGCTTTCCAGCCAAAACAGTATGCTGTTTCCTATCCTTAAAATAAGAAGACAGCCATCTAGTTGCCCAGGACTCTGTTTGTGCTGAAATCATCTTTCCTAATAAAAGTGTCCTAGAAACAGAGTCGAAAGCTGCAGTATAGTCTAAGAAAGCTGTTCGAACGAACTTAGCGCCCTTATCAAGGCAGGAAACAATATTGTGGTGTAGTACAATGGCTGCATCTAATGTACTTCTTCCACACTTATAAGCAAACTGCTTAGGGTCATTAAAAGCTTTTAAAGAAGGTTTAAGAATATACAAAAGAAGTTTCTCCATAGTTTTCAAAAAAGGAGATGTTATAGCGACTGGTCTAAATTTTATACCTGCTCCAGAAGATGATTTCTGTACAGGTACAACCTTGATTTCTTTCCAGTCAGCAGGTACCGTTTCCCTCTTAAATGATGCGTTAAAGATTTGAGTAAGAGGATGACACAAGATGTCTGCACACTTTTGGAGAAGAATGCTTGGTACACCATCTGGACCAAGGCTGTGTGTTGGATTTAATGACTTCAAACATAATAGTACATCCTTTTCTTCAAAACCCTGAAAATGACCATTTTCTTGACTAGGTACATCAGGTACAACCATATTAATTTGTTTCTTGATAAATGATTTGTTTAAAGCATTAACATCAGAATAAGCATCAACGGACATTTGTTTTTTACTTGTTAGTTTATTGAAAAGTTTCCAAATGTTTGAAGGATTTTTACATGATAAAAATTTTTCATTATATAGTCTGTTCAACCTTTCTATTTCAATTTTTATAAGGGTGTTTATTTTACGGACACCAGTATTATCACAATTTTTATACAACTTCTCTTTTTGTCTTCTAAGTTTTTTCAGTTGCACAGAAGAGATTCTGTCAAATCTCGAAAACAGTGTTTCATAAGGACAGCAAATATCCAAACAAAACTTCAGATAATCGGTTATATTAGAGACAGTAGCATCCAACTTATCGTCAGTAAACAGTTCCCAGTTGGTATCATGCAACATGCTTCTTAATGCTAGAATGTTGTCATGGGAATATGAACGTTCATGTATCTTCTTTGTTAAATGACTAAACAATTTTCGTTGTGACTTGCCGTACACTTTCGGTAAAATACGAATAATGCAGTGGTCAGAATTTAGCAAAGGAGCTCTCCTTCGGGTTTCATATACATCACGGTCATTTATGAAAACCAGGTCTAGTGATTTGTCCAGACGTGTATTAAACTTGACTAGATTCTCATGACCAAGCGAAGTAAGAAAGCTGTGATCACATAAATTAAAATCACCACAGACTATAGACAACGAGTTTCCGAATGCAGGAGCAGCGAATTCAGTAAACTCATCTGCAAACATAACTATATTAGAAAGGCTACAATCGGGTGTTATGTAAATATTTGTTATGTATATATAAGAATATTTACTTAAGTGTTTTGGGCGACACCTGACGGTTATGCAATCTATATTGTCATTAGAATAATTGAAGCAAACGTGATTTGATGTAGACCAATTTGTGTTTATATATGTGGCTACCCCTCCTCCATATTTTTTCTTGGAACTATTTCTATCTTGGCGAAAAACTTTATATCCATTTATTGAAACTAGATTATCATCATAATGCTGGTGCAGCCAAGTCTCTTGTATTGCTAAAACGCCAGCATTTCGATAAACATTGGAATACATTAGGGATTGAAGGTAATCCATTTTGTTGGACAGGGATCTACAATTAGTGCTAACGAGTTCAGGAACAGTCATTTGATTAATTTGTGTACGTTTCAGTGCACGCTGCCAGCCACAGTGATGCTTTTTTCTCAATTTTTGTGGATGACACAACGCGATAGGTTGTAATGATTTTAAAAATGCGCGATTATATATAATACGATTAGGACACATTATTGATAAATTAAAACAAAATTAAAAGAGCAAACCAAAGCAATTTTGCAAAATGTTGTAAGGTGGAATTTTTGGTAGCCCTATGTTCAAGCAGGCCGCCGCATCTATAACTAATCTAATCTAACAAACTAATCTAACTATATTGTTCTGCTGAATCTTGTTTCACTATTCACAAAACCTATTCTTTTTATTCTTTAAGGTTCTAACTTCTTGTAAAGTAATCTGTTCATTAGGATGCATGCACACATGTATAATATGTTCATAAAGATGTACGTGGAGACCTATTGGAAGCACTCATTAAGAAAGCTAGGGAGATGGAATATGAGGTACGAACATGTCTGGTACCAAGCAATATACTTGAGGTAGCCATAATAATCATAGTCTCAGAGCCTAACATCAAAAAAGGAGGGAGGGTGGCGCTAGCTGATCAGTAGATATGGTGGTGGTCACTAAGGTGAATCGCCCCATTCTGCAGGAACAGCAATATACAATTTGAAGGCTCGAGATATTTCTGATTTTTATGAGGGCTTAGACCTCTATCTTGAAAAAGATAATAAAGAACGCCTTGACAGATCATGCTTCTACCTGTAAATATATACCATTCGCTCAGCCTATTGTTGAGATGCGACCACGCGGGATCTGCACAGATTTATGGGGCATCTTATAAACTAACTTGCTGTCCATTTTCGGATCTTTAAATACCACTTCACAATGTCTTATCTCATTCATTTTCCAATAACGTCTTTACTTGATCCTCATTATATCCCATTAAACCTAACATTTTACAGCTCTTTATGACTTATTATATTCCTACTCTCTGAAGGGTACGGTTGCACACTAAATGCACAAAAAGGTATAAAACAAAAACAACTGGCACAACTGAGGATAAATGTATTAAAACCAAAAGTGGACATCATGATAGTACGAGATATACGTGTAGCATTATATATTGCAAATGAACGTTGTCAGCCTAGGGAGTTTTCTTTATTAATGCATTTATTAATGATACTTGCACTTACCTATTTCATTACAATTTAATGATTCACCTCAGCACTTTTACTTTTCTAAAAGCAGCTTTCAATCCCTTGTAAACGTTGTACTTACTTCAATATTGGTTGGTTATCGTATGCCGACAACCACGGGATGAAAACGAAACGAAGTCGATTTTCCCGCTCAACCTGGAGGACAATTGTACAATTCAATAACTATACAGCCTAGTTCAGACAATGTGTATTTATATATATATATATATATATATATATATATATATATCAAATATTTAACTGTTGAAACATTATTAACTTGTAGACAATCTACGATTTGATATTATAAAATACTTGATCGTGCCTGTAGAAATGGCATGCATTTTCATGTAAATTTATGTTTATATGAGAATATACATTATTATTATTATTATTACCATATACAGCTTTTTAGATCTTAATATCATCTGCATATAATAATGAAGATGAGGCGAGAATTTTCGGCACTTCATTTACGTATGATAGGAATAGCTGGGGGGCCTGGTACAGTTCCCTGAGGTAGTCCACTCAGTACTGTTTCCCACTCTGGCAGTAGACCACTAACACTTACCTTCTACCTTCTACTCATTACGTAGTCCCTTAACCACTCACATGGGCGTGGGTCTAGTCCAAAACTTTTCAGTTCACTCGGAAGATCTAAATTAGATGCTTTATCGAATGCTTCAATAAGGTCGATAAAAGCAACGTCCTGTAGAATTTTCTTATCGCTGGCTTCGACACAGTCTTCACCAGCTAATAGTAGGTTTGCCAGACACTACCAGTAAGCCGTGTTTCTCCATATGGGCTGTGAGCTGATCCTTAATGATTGTTTCTAGTACCTTTGCCATAATGCAGGGCAGACTGCTGGTGAGACACCAACTGCCTGCTCCCTCTCTGATGTCGGGGCTTATGATTGAACTCCTACAACTCCTGGATAGCCTAGCTTGGGTCGGAGATATCTGAAAAATCTCCTTAAGTGGAATCTTTACTATGGCCGCCAAGGAGATCAACAGTCTAGGGTGAAATCCATTGGGCCCAGATGATTTGTCTGGCTTCAATTTAGATATTAGTTTGAGTACCATTGCGTCCGCTGCCACAGTTGACGGTACTATAGTGGCGGTATCAGTGACCTGGCTATAACTCTGGGTGGTGCGATTAGATGAGACTACGTCACGAAAGTATTCGGAGAGGTTTTCACTTTCTGTTTCATCTGGCTTAGCGGTCTCTGTAGTACTACTTCTCAGTGACAGTAAACCACTGATAGTTCTAGTCCTACGTTTAATATGAGTACAGTCATTTTGGATGATGCACACAATCCAGTACTAACTGTCTGTCATACCATACACGGCCTTTGTCAATCAGATATTATTACAGAGGTTTCGAATTCTGCGGCAGTCCATCTGAAACTCCTCTTTCCCTGTCACAGTGAACCGGCCCCATAAGTTCTTTCGCTTTCCTAATAACCTCCTTATTTCATTACTAATCCAAAGTGGTTTGTGCGATAGTTTTCGAGGCGTAGACCAAGGAACAAAAGGTGCAGATACGCAATTTAGTGTGTTCCCAAATCCCACCCAAGCTTCATCGACAGTCCGATTTGTATCAACTGGCCAGTCAGCTAGAGTTGCTGCGTCTCTTATTGCAGGTATATCCGCTTTCCAAATGTTTGGACGAGCAGATGTTGACCTATGTGTGAGAGCATGAATGTTAAACGTAAAAGTGACAGCTACGTGGCCACTACTGCCTGGTGGTGGAAGGCACTGACATCCTCCTTCTGGTGTGTTAGCACCAAGCGTAGAGTAAACGGATAATGTTCAGGGTGATACAGTATTGGTGCAGGCTCATGTTGTACATGTGACATTCGAGCACTGTCAGTGTAAGTCCTCTTTTGAAAAAAATGTACAAGGTAGCTGATGTTAATTCCTCCCAGTTAATGTTTGGGGCATTAAAGTCACCCACTATTAGACACCTATTTCTACTAGTTCACGCCCTGAGATGATTTGGCACGAAATCATCAGCTTGGCTGGCAGGACTTCCATAAATAACCTCAATCTTCACAGTGTTCTTATTCAAGTTAGTGGCCCAGCTTGCAGCTTCACTAGTGCCGCTATCACGCGTCTGTGATAGTGCCGACTTGCTTCACATGACATCCGGATGTACAGGGCAACCCCACTACCTTTCCGACTATTTATTCTGTCTGCTCTAATGCAGATTCCCCCGAGTATGAGTGAAGTCCACACCCACTAACAGTCAGGTTCCAGTGATAGCAATCACATCATGTTGTAGTCCTTCACACCTTATTCTCGGATTCTTATCACAATAATAATAACTTACATTTCGTATAAACTGGTGTTCGCAAGAGTTGCATTCCAGTTTCACAGGCACGATTTATTTTTTTGTTTTTTTATTACAGCTTGATTCCACACTGTATTTTTGGTACAAGTATGAAACTTTCAGCATGTGATATCGGTAGCCCAAATTATGCAGACCGACATAGATATCAGGTGTGCGTTGGTGGAGGATCGAACCTCAGACCATGTGCATGGTCGGCGAGAGACCTAACCACTGTGCCACCGACACACACCTATGTCAACCTGAGAAGGGTTGTAGGCGTACTGTTGTAAGTCCTACAATTCTTCAAAGGGTAGCGCATCAATGAGCAGTGCAATGTGCTTGGTGTGTGATTTCGTACATAAGCTCATATTGTATATACTGAATTGGTATCATTTATCATCTAGCTGTTGGTAATTCTGTTTGTGTCCGGACGACTTCCACTTGTATCGTCAACCTGATAAGGAATGTAGGCCTACTGCTGTAAGTCCTACAGTTCTTCAAGGGTAGTTCGTCAAATCACAATCCACAACATTTGATGTATTGATTGCAGATATGTTCGTGTTAAATAATTGTGTGAGTTCCAATTGTTGTAATTGTTGGTTATTCTTGATTGTGTCCGGACGTTCTGCAACTTACAATCGTCAACGTGAGAACAGTTGCAGGCGTACTGGTGTAAGTCGTGCGATTCTTCAAAGGAATTCCACCAAGACGTGATCCGCGAGGTTATTTGTACTGTTTGTATATACGTGTGGTGTGTCTTCTCAATTTGTGATTTTGGATTAACTGTGCTTACTCGTTGTTTTCGTACCTTGTTGTTATTGCATAATTTTGTTAAAATTTTCGTCGTGATTACTTCTGAAGTTGTTTCTAGTCTTCTACATTCGTGAATGAATTGATTGATGTTACAGACAGCAGATGGGTCGTATACGCCGGGGAGGCTATTGCTGAGAATGATATGCACACGGAGATAATTGTTAGCTGTGGTCCCACACGCCGGGGAGCAAGAGTGTAAACGACTAAGGCTCGCATACGTCACCGTTACTAGAACTGAGGCAGAATGAGTGACAAGCGATCCCAGTGGTAATTGGTAGTGAGTAGATAAGAGGATGTGAGTGGAGTATCGTGAGGTTGTGCTATGGTCACGTTGCATTCTGCAAGAGTCATTCTAGCAAGTGGCGGTTGTGTTGCAAGATGTCAAAAGGATACAATAACGCCCGGTACGTTCAAATCGGGTGATGCTTCTGCACGTGTTTTCGCTTATATTCACTTATTGTTTACTAATAATTGATCTTTAATAACGATGGTTCAAAATTCTAAAAAGAGTGTTCGTGCGAACACCAGTAATTTAGAAAATAGCACCAGCTCGTCCAATAACACATTACCATCCCATATTATTAGTAGTTCACCCAACATAAAAGCCTCTAACATAACTCTGACCCCTGTAATACAGGTGGAAGATGTTCTGTCTGAAAAAGTAGAGCTCTCTTACTTAACGTGCGTAATTAAAGAGATGCAGCTACAGATAGATGAATTAAAAACGAAACTAAGTTCACTAGAATGTATACCCGAAACTATCTCACGTATGAAAAAGGAACTGCAGGATCCCACAATCCTAAAGCTTTTTAACATGACCTCTAGAATGACTCATACTGACTCAAAAAGTGCGAAGGAGTTAGAAAACGCCATCAACTTTCTATTCAGTGAAGTTGTTAAACGAAACGCAATAGTGTATAATGTAGCGGATAGCGAGC